TTTTTTTTTTTGATTCTTCATTCTGTTCTGGTTGAATGTTTATCTTTCCCTTCTCTCAATTGTTGGTTTGAGTCCTGGTTTCCTTCCCTTGACTGTTGGTTCCCTGTATATTTTTCTTTATTTCACTTTGCATAGGCTTTGCTTTTTCCTCCATTTAGCGACCATACTCACCCACTTCAGTGAGCATCCAGATTACCAGTGTTTTGAACTGTGCATTGGATAGGTTGGCTCTCTGTTCATCGCTTGGTTCTGTTTTTGGAGCTTTGTTCTGTTCTTTCATTTAGGCCATATTTCTTTGTCTCAGTATACCTGTTACGTTGGGAGGGGCAGAGCCCTAGGTATTTATCAGGGTGGGGCAACCCAGGTCACTGTGCTGTGATGCTTTGTGTTGGGGCGGGGTCAGAGAGGGAACAATGCCACTTGCTCAGCTCTCGGCAGCTTTCAGTTGCTTCCCCTGCTACCCATAAGCTAATTGGTCCCTTCTGGTGCTGATTCCCAGGTGGGTGGGTTTGTGTACGTTCTAGGCCCCCATGGGCCTCTCTCCTATGATGCTGAGAGTTTCTCCTGCCGCCACAACCCCCATCGTTTTTTACAGCCAGAGGTTCTGAGACTTTCTTTTCCCACACTGGAACCGTGGATTGTGCGGTTTGTCTCACTTCCCAGCTGTTCCTCCTGGTTTATCCACATACAAACGTGGAGCTGCCCAGACCGCCAGCCGCTGTCTTGGCATGGGTCCCCTCCTGCCAGTCTGGATGAATGTTTCTTCTTCAGCTCCTTGGTTGTCAGACTTCCATACAGTTTGATTTTCTGGCAGTTCTCGTTATTTTTTGTTTTTAAATTTGTTGTCCTCCTTTTGGTTGTGTGAGGAGGCAAAGTGTATCTACCTTTGCCTTCATCTTGGCCAGAAGTACCATCTAAAAAGACCTTTTAGAGCAGTTTTAGGTTTACAATAAAGTTGAGAGTAAGGTACGGAGATTTCCCATATACTTTTTGCCCCCACACATACCTAGCCACCACCATCATAAGCATTACTCACCAGAGTGGTACTTTTTTTTTTTTTAAATCAAGGATAAAATCTTCAATGACACATCATAATCACTCAGAGTCCATAGTTTTCCTAAGGGTCACTCTTGGTGTACATTCAGTGGGTTTAGACCAACATGTAATGACATGTAGCCATCATTATAATTTCATACAATATATTTTCACTGCCCTAAAAATCCTCTTTGATCTGCCTATTTATCCTGACCCCTACCCCTGGCTATCACTGATCTTTTTATTGTCACCATAGTCTTGCCTTTTCTAGAACGTCATATAGTTCAGATCATACAATATGTAGTCTTTCTAGAATGGCTTCTTTCATTTATGCATTTACAGTTCCTCCATGTCTTTTCATGGCTTGGTAACTCATTGCTTTTTTTTTTTTTTTTTTTTGGAGAGATGGAGAGGAAGTTGGCGGGGCGGGGGGAGAGAAACACCGATCTGTTGCCTCTTGCATGTGCCCCAGCTGGAGACTGAACCCACAACCCATGCATGTGCCCTGACCGGGGATTTAACTGGCGACCCTTTGTGGGATGATGCCCAACCAACTGAGCCACACTGATTAGGGCATAGCTCATTTCTTTTTAATGCTGAATAATATTTCATTGTGTGGATATACCACAATTTATCCATTCACCTACTGAAGGACTCCTTGATTGCTTCCAAGTTTTGGCAGTAATAATAAAGTTACTGTAAACATTCATGTGGAGGTTTTTACATGGGCATGTTTTTAACTCCTTTGGGTAAATACCAAGGAGCATGGTTGCTGGATGGTATGGTAAGCGTATGTTTAGGTTTGTAAGAACTGCCAAGCTGTCTTCCAAAGTGCCTGTACCATTGTGTATTCTCACCAGTAGTGATGAGAATTCTTGTTGGATAAGAGACAGTTCCTCACAAATTTTTGGTGTTGTCAGTGTCCTAGGTTTTGGCTATTTTACTAGGTGTATAGTGGTATTTTACTGTTGTTTTAATTTGCGTTTTCCTGATAACATGATACGAAGTATCTTTTCATGTACTTATTTGCCATCTGTGTATTTTCTTTGGTGAAGTTGCTTTCACTTTTAACTTTTCTGAATCGTAAGTGTTTGACTCATAATAACATATAGTTTTTATTTTAAAAGATTCAGTCTGACATTTTATCTTTTAATGGATACATTTAGTCTATTTATATTTTTTCTTAATTAATGTTTTGAGAGTTAGTCCTACCATTTCTTTTTGTGCTTTCTACATGTGTGGAGTTTTTTGAGTTTAAATTTCATTCTCATTTTCTTTTGAATTGATTGATTTTCTTATTCCTCCTTTTTTTCTACTTTGGTTTTTAATTTCCCATTGTCTTTACTTAGTTGTTATCTTTAAATTTTTTAGTGTTTGATCTTAAAAGGTCTAAAGTTAATATTTCTACCCTGTACCTAAACACAGAAACCTTAAAATTCTTTAATTTCAATTACCTTTATTCCTTCTTAGGTGGTATTTTATCCTGGTACTTTTATTCATTTAACAAATAATTTTTAAACTCTTCTGCCATGTGTCAGGTACTGTTCCAGGTGTTGTAGTAAATAGAATTAAACAAAGTCTCTGTACACGTGAAGCTTACAAGGTAATAAACTGATTAATATATATTATGGCATAAATTAGTGTTTGGTGGTAGAATGGAAAGTAAACTTTAGAATACATTAAAGAATGATTTTGGGAAGGAGATGCTATTTTGTATATGTTTCTGCTATCTTTAGAAAATTTATAAGGTTTTTAGGGCTCAAGTATGGAAAAAAAAAAATTCTCATGCTGGAGGAGCTTGTAGTCTGACCAGAGTCCCAGGAAGAAGACAGATTTGGGAGCCATTGGCACATGGTGGGTGGAGCTTTACAATTGGTGGATTTCTGAGGAGGGTGTGGAGAGTGTCATGCAACCTGAAGACAGATCCAGGGCAGAGTGGGATGAGCTGGTACAGAAGACTGAAGCGCGGTCAGAAAGGTCAAAGAACAGGAAATGACCCTGGAAGCCAAGAAAAGAAGAGGTTATATTTTATTTATAGAATGCCTATTTCAGAAATAATTTAGTAGGCTGAGATATCAAGTAGAAACAGCCTGGGAAAAAGATTGGTGTTGGTAGTTAGAACATTGCAGTGACGTGATCAACAAACAGTTTCAGTGAAGTGAAGCCAGCCTGCATGGGTTGAGGAGCTGAGAAATCACAGACAGAGAATAAAGACTACTTGTTCAGAAGGTGGTAAGGGAAAGAGAGTGAGTGATAATTTGAGGGCAAGAGGGAGGCATTAGAACTCAGGGCTAAAGTTGGTGTTTGGGCAGAGATACTGAACAAAACCTTATAGACTTTGGGGATGCCATGGTCAGAAAATAGCATGGTTCCCTGCCCTTGGGGAAGTTCCTGCCTGATCCTTCTCTTGCCAGAAACTGCTCCCCGGATCCCTGGATTTTCCATTGTGGATGGTGGCAGTATATTTCCTAGTGTCTGAATACTGAAACTACATATTCTGCTGTAATGATTTGACATTTACATTCAAGTGATAAAAGTAAAAACATGGATAAACTTCCCTTGACAGTTGCTCTTCAAACTCCTTAGTGTGATAGTCAAGATTTGTCCTATTTTGAACTCACCCGCTCAACCATCTCTCTTTTTCTGTTGCTGCCTCCTAGACACCCCCTGCATTTTACTGCCTCCCTATTTTAGCTCACACAGTTTTCTCCACTTTAAATACTCTTTTGCCTTTTTAATGACTCAAATCAGTTCCCCAGTCACTCTCCCTACCACTTTCTCTCTTTTTTTGCACATAGCTTCTTATAACTTGGCACCTGTTGCAGAGATAGAAAAGCATTTTTTAAATTGTAAAGTGCCACACAAACTTGCCTTGTTATCTATCTCCCTAAAGAAGCTTCTTGAGGAGAGCGACCTAGGTCTTTTTCATGTTTATGAACATCAGAGTACTTGGCATAGTGTCTTGCACATGTTTGATATTTAAAATTTGAATAAAGTAGGGATATGTGATTGTGATAGATTAATGCTGTGTCTAAGATGGGCATGTTATAAACCAAGTTCTAGTTTGTAGCTATTAAATTTTCATTGAAATTCTGCTTCGCATATCTCCTCTAAAAGTAGACTCCTTAATTTGGATTCTCCATTGATTCACATCTTATTTTTTTCTTCACAGAGTGCATGCCTATCTACATCAGTAATTATAGGTTGCAGAGTGGTGTATTGGGATGTTTTTGACTATAGTAGCAGAATTACCTAGTTAAACAACACAGGCTTTATAGCTCACCTAACAAGAAGTACAGATAATAGGAGATTTCACGGTTTGTCTGCTCAGTGACTATGATAACATCAGGGTCCCATGTGCTCTCCATGTTTTCAGTTGACCACTCTCAGCATGTTGGTTTCTCTCAACCTCAAGGTGGCTTTAGCCTTTCTACGCATCCTACACAAACAATATCCAAAGGTGAAAAAGTCTAGTTTCTCCTTCAGCATCTCTGTGAGGGAGCATAACCTTTCCTGAATGCTTCCCAGCAGACATCCCCTTAGGTCACATTGGTTGACATTTGGTCATCTGCACTGGCAAGAGGAATGATCACTTGAATTCATTTGTAAGTCTAATACCTTGAAAAACATAAGGTCTGAGGATGGGATAAGGAACAAACAATATCTGCCACACCTGCTATTTATGTGTCTTTGGCTTTCTAATCTGGCAAGTTAATAGCCTCATAGATTTATAAGAGGAGGCTTTAATTCCCATTGAGCTTAGTGTTGGTTCCAGTGATACTTTATCCATTGACTCACTCATTCATGAAATAAGCATTAACTGAACACATTTTGTGACAGGTACTGTGCTCAGGATTGAGAGGTGGCAGCTGGCCTGTAGTCCAGTGGAGTAGGTGGCTGAGGTAAGGGGGAAGAATAGAGTTATTCTGTAATAAACTGATTATAGGAAATTTATTTTTCAACAGGAGATGTGGGACATATGGATTTGGGATATGAATTCATTTGAAAAACCACTTTGGGGTAAGTTGATAGCCGGGAATGAATGACTGCAGGGATCCACTTCTATTTATATTGGGGTTTGTTGTGACAGCGTCAAAGCCTTCAAACTTTCATTGATTGGACTTTATGTCTCATATACGCACAAGAAAATGGCTTGTACCAAAATTCCATTTTAGTAATTTGAGAAATTTAACTATCAAGCATAGCTCAGTACTAATTAATTAGTGATTCACTTCTCAGTAGGGAGGTTAATTTGAAGGCTAAATGAAGAACAGGTTTAGAAATAAAGAGCTACTGATTATATAGGGTTTAACCGGTTTGAGTTTACCCAATAATCCTGTTGCGTGGACTAGTAATCACTCATAGAGCCAGTGTTGAAGATACACAGTTAAAAGTTTGTCTCTGAGTGTCTCTTTTCAGTACTCCAGATGGTTGTTTGAATCCTCATTGCATCAGTACAAATATAAAAGGGTCCCAAATTTTTATTTCATCTAAAAAAGTACCTCTAGAAATATTGTTTAATAGTACTGGCTATGTACTATTGCATCTGAGTGTGTTGTGCATAACCCATTTAATTTTGTATAATGGGACTATATGGTGGGTATGTGTTTTTCATTTAGAGGAATAAAGAGGCCTGTGTTTATAGGATCACATAACTAATATGTGTTGGAATTGAAATTTGAACCCAAATTTCAATTTCAGCATTTGACCTAATAGACACTCACTTATGTTTCAACGTGCTGATTGTATTGGGGGTTCCCAAGATAACCCTCAGTTTCAGTGACTGGCTCTCCTTATAATAATGGCTAACATTTATTACATCAAAAGGATACAAAACAATATTAACAAAGGAAAAAGTGCTGGGGGTGAAGACTGGAGGAAACCAGGCGCAAGCTTCCAGAGTCCTCTCCCATTGGAGTCACTCAGGATGTGCTTTATTCCTCCAGCAATGAATTGTGACTGCACATATGACATGTTCTCAACTAGGGAAAGTCATTAAACTCATTGCCAATGTTTTATTAGGGCTTGTCATGGAGACATCCTCTGCCTAACATGTATAAAAATTTCAGGCTCCAAGAAGGAAAGCAGGTGTTTTGCATAAATCATACTCTTTGTACAGACAGTTTAGACACAATGAGGCACACTTATCATTTAGGGTAAGTTTTATATTGGTATTGGGAACTGTTTATTATTCAAGTTCCCAAATGCCAGCCAAGGGCCAACCTTGGAACCAGGTCTTTCTGAGGATAGCATTCTCAGGTCTACTGTGTTAACTTTTATTTTATTTTTTTATTTTGTTTTATTTTATTTTATTTTTATTTGAGAGAGAGAGAGAGATTAATTTGTTGTTCCACTTACTTATGCCTTCATTGGTTGATTCTTGTATGTGCCATGACCGGGGATCAAACCGGCAACCTTGGCATATTGAGACAATACTCTAACCAAGTGAGATATCCAGTCAGGGCCTGTGTTAACCTGTATCCTGTACACTGATTTATTAATTTAAGGAGATTGTGATTATGATCATTTAGCTTCTGAAAAATGAGAAAAGTGGGTAATAGCCAAAAAAATTCTTTAATGGTGTTTGTTTTGTGGATCCCATGACTGCCCACTAGTTTGATTTGCTTGAAGGACTCATGCAACTCAACCTAATGTTGTAGTCAAGGTTAAGGTTTATTACAGCAAAGGATACGATGCAGGAACAGCAGGAAGAAGGTATGTATAGGTGAATGCTAGAGAGATCCACACACACTTCTAAGCCTTTCCACTACGAGAATTACACGGATCCAGTTTCCTCTACAGCTGTAAATGATAGAGACATGTAAAAGATGTCTCTATAGAAGCACAGGCATGTCATAGTCCAGAGTTCATATAGGAAGCTGGTCATATGGGCACATTTCTGCCATATGACCAGCCCTGGTAACTGAAACTTAGAACCCAGAACCAATGCTAGGTACACAGCATAAATCTTGATGATTACTTTAAACAATGCTAACATCCTGGTACATCCTGACCCACTGCCTCTGATATCCTTAACCAGTGACTGTGAACATTTCAGGAGTTTAGTTCTCAGAGTTTGACCAGGGTTTGGCCAGGGGTCGTTGCTATGGCTCCAGGCATTCCCCCAGAGATTAGCAAGGACTGTAAAAGAGACCTGCTGTGCTCTTTCCTCACAGTATCATACGTGAAATAATGTTGCACTCACTGAATGTAGCATTCAGTGCTGATATATTCTTTAGAATGTGATATTCTAAACTTAAAAAAGAAAAACATTGATAGTAGAAATAGTTGACAAATTTCACTTCCTTGAGGGGGAGTTTGTAGATTATTTTCTTTCAGGTATTTATATAATGGTGACTTTTGGATTTCCCATTTTTGTCCAAAACTATTTGTATTATGTCCAAGTATATGTTATGTTAAGGAACAAAACATAAATATGAACTTAAAACAGTTAGATCAAGATATTATACAGAATTAACTTTCACTTCATGAAGGCCTTCCCTGTGAGGGACTTTTAAACAGAATGGGATTTCTTTTTTATAAAATTTGCAGATTTACAGACACACCAGTTTTGCAAAAAGAAAATAACCCATAGTCTAAAAATTGCTGGATTCCAGGAGTTGAAACCAATTTCGACTACTTTATTTACTGGCATTTGAAACCTGCTTTATGTTATGCAAGAAAGACAGACGGAGTATATGGGAAAGGTTCTGTGCTTGAAAATGAGAAGTTCTGAGTGAATGAAGTTAAATAGTTTTCCTTACTGCAGAACTTCCCAGAAACTTCAGTGCGATAATAGAGAGTATGGCTCTTCCAGGGCAAAGAGAGCGTATAACATTCCCCTGACTTATTTCACCACAGACTTTTTTCGTGAGGACTCTCAGGTTTGGGTCCCTCAGTAAACAGTGTTCTTAAGAAAACAGAACAGGGGGAAGCCATAATAAAGGGTTTTAGGTAAAGGAGAGACAGAAAACAACTCTAGAAAAAACTTACTTTAAAGAAAACCTTGTTGCATAAAGTTTAATATCTTATACTGCCTTCTGATAACACCTATTTAGAAACTTCCCTATCTGGATGTCTTTTTCCTGCCAAGTTTCCTGAATTGATATTTCTCTTACAATGTGAATGGCATGTCTTAGATTCATGATTAACGGCATGATAAGAGCTTCCATAGTGTGGATCATTGGCTTTATGCTTGTATATACACACAGTACCTGACATGGTATCAAGAACATAGTTGGCCAGGACCCAGTAAATAATCCAGAGAGAATGTAATTAGTTGTGATTTCAAAATACTGAAACTTTTTAAAGGAACACAATATAGTAGACATGGAAGTTATTTTGAAAACGATGTCATTTTGAAAAATTTTTGAACTTAACTATTAAAGTTGAGTTTAATCCCTTCCTTATTATCACCTTTTTAAAAATGATCCTTCTGATTGTTAAACTTAATTTTCTTGGAACAGGAGAATTGTTCACCGTAGTCATAGTAAACAGTTTTAGCTACTAATTTCTTTTGCAGTGGTCATTATTAAATGGTCATTATAGCTAAGGAGGCAAGTAGGTCAGGAGTAGCCAAGGCATTTCTCAAGAAGTAGTGAAAGGTGAGAGGGCTTGCTTTGCCATATATCAAGAATTATTTTAAAGCTGTAATAATTAAGACATCAGTGTGGCACGGAGATAGACTAATGGAACTGAACGTAGAATTCTGGAAACCCCACTTAGGACAAAGTTGGCATTGTAACCATTAGGGAAAGGATGAACTTCCCATCAGTAGTACTGCAACAGTTGTTTATCCACATGGGAGAAAACTGCATTGAATCTCTACTTAAAGCTGAAGAGTAAAACTTTAAAATAGTTTGTAGATAGAGAATTTAAGACTTAGAAAATGTCAACCATAAAAGACAGTTCTTATTAGGAAGATAAGCTTTAAACTGAGCAAAGATACTTGTACTGATACAAGATTATAATCCAGATTGTAGAGAAGTCTTTACAAACTAATAGGAAAAAGACTAAACAACCCACCCAGTAGAAAAGTGAACCAGACTTAAATAGGCAGAGTAAATGGAATGGCCAGTAAGGTCAGAGATGGTAGGGTAATGCAAACTAAAGTACATAAAGGTAAGGGGGCATTGGGTGTGGAGGGATAGAGTAAAAAAAAGAAGAAAAAAAAACCTCATGGATACAGACAGCAGTGTGATTGCTGAGGAGAGGAGGATGGGAAAGGTGGAGGAGGGTTTGGAGGGATAAATGGTGGTAGATGCAGACATGACTTGGCTTGGTGAACACAGTGCAGTGCACAGATGATGTGTTGTAGAACTGTGCTCCTGAAACCTGTATAATTTTGTAACCAGGGTCACCCCCAATAAATTCAGTAAAAAGGAAAAAAAATTAAAGTACATGAAGATACCAATTACACAGACACCAGATTGTCAAAAAATAAAGTTTGACATCTGTAAGTGTTGCCACGGATATAACATATCCAGAGCTCTCATTTTGCATTTTGTTTCACTTCAACCATATGGGAAAACATATCGGTGATATTTAGTCATGTTTAAAATATGCATACCCTATGACCTAATACCCCTAAGGATATACTCTAGATCAGGGCTCATAGTTAAGGTCTTTAACATTTTTTAAATGGTTAAAAAATTAAAATAATATTTTGTAATTTGTGATGGAAAAATTATATGACATTCAACTTTCACTGCCTATAAATAAAGTTCTGTTGAAATACTGTTACATTAACTTGTTTACACATCATTTACGCTGCTTTGGTGGTACCAGAATTGAGTGGTTGCAACCGAGATACCCCACAGAGCCTAAAATATCTACCATCTGGCCTTTTACAGAAGAAATTTACTGACCCTTGCAATAAATAAATATATAGTCATACTTCAGTCCTCATAGGCTTCAGAACTCATCAAACCCTGTAAATGTTACATTTTGTCGAGAAAAAAATGTTTCAGCACTCGGTCCTTGCTCCCAACTCATGGCACTTGCTAGAACTTGTATGAGTC